ATCCTTTCTAAGTTTTTAAATGAAAGTAAGTTAGTAATGGGATATAGTGATGAATAGGATATTACAAACTTATTTTTACTTTTATACATTATTTATACTTATTGGTCTGCCTATGCTATATAATTCTATACCAGTGGTTCCCAAACTATTTATTTATTTATTTATTTATTTATTTATTTGTTTGTTTGTTTGTTTNCTAGCTGGTATGTGAAAGACTCACCCGTCTTTCAAACCTAATTTGCATTACATTCTTCTCAGCAATAGTATCACGGTATAGAATTTCATATAACGTATTATGACCCAGCTATTGCCAAAGAATTTTAAAACATTTAATGCACTTTTTAAAAAAACAACAACAACAACTATTTTATCTGAATGCACAGATTTATGGCAATCACCCACCCTTCTTTGAAGACAAGGGGTCTTTCTGTAGCTGCCTCTGTGAATTGGCTGCTGCTTTAATTGGGCTACATGGCAACATATGACAGCCAAGTCATAAAACTATGACCTGTGGGTTCTCTCTGCAGCATGACTATCGTAACAAGGCCTTTCGTAACTAGTTATGACTCACATGAATGCTAAATATGCTTCATTTCCTGGCTGTGATCCCACGATCTTGTGCCACCAGCAGAGAAGGGTCAATCATTCTGTTCATTGGACAAACAACAATAATGAAACCATTCTATAGGAATGCAGATAACTAGCTACAAGACTCTGGTTTTGTAATCTGTAGCTAAATTTGACATACGCATAAACATTGTTCTCTCTAAAAGTTTCCAAATGAAGGCAAAAGGTTAAGAGGTTTAATGCTTGATGGACTATTTAAGGCCCAATAAATACATCAGCTGGACTTTATTATGCTTCCTGTAAAATCCTATTATCTTTCTTTTGGAACATTATGTTGAAAAGATGTAAAATGCGCATATGGAGGGCTTTTGAACTCTCCAGGCAAGAGAGGAAATTCCAGTTAACTTCCTGGTACCTGGAAATAATAATATATATATAACATTCACAAGTTCATTCATTCATTCATATTAGCACAAGGAGGGAATATAATATATTTGGGAGTTATGAATTTATTTGCTTTCCTGTTGTGGCCCAGCAGGAGCCGTTGGAGCTGCCACCAGACTCCGATAGCGAGGGGCCCTATGAGTCGGCTCTGGAGGATGTGGAGG